TCGTGGTGTGGGGGGGGGGGGGGGGGGGGGGGGGGGGGGGGGGGGGGGGGGGGGGGGGGGGGGGGGGGGGGGGGGGGGGGGGGTCGAAAGAACCCCCCTTTTTGCAAGGAAAAGGTCCTTCTGGGTGAAATTTAATAATGGTATATGAAAGTTTCATGGTAAAAGGTCCACGTTTTCAGAAAAAGAACCCCTCTTTTGAAATTTCTGGCTACGGGCCTGCTTATGTATTTTGGTGAAAGTACATGTAGCGATTTCAAAACTAATGCTGCTTGCTTAAATTCTATCTATTCATATATTGTTTGCCAGTTTAATTTCTTGAATAGTACAACTGATGGATTGTTCTTGGTTTCTTTTTCCAGGATATCGAGAATGATTCTTGCACCACGTTTTTGAAGTTTGTGTTTTCCAGTTTTGCACAGCTGCTCCATATAATGGAGCAGTCATCCAGATGCAGTAGTATATGTGCATTATAAAATAGTTTTCTTTTTTCCAATGTTAGATATCGTTTAAGTTTGGATAGAGGGAACAGTTTACTGTAAATTCTTTTTTGAAGTAAATACACACAGTTATTCCAGCTTAGATTTTCGTTAAGATATACACCTATAGGTTTTTTCTGATTGTACAGTTAACTAAAATGTCCCCATTGAACACAACTTTTAATGACCGTTTAATTTATGGCATTTTTGCACATTTTTGTCTTTTTGTTATAAGCATTGCTTTTTTTCGTCCTTCCTCAGTGAACAATTCTACCTTTGCAGAATTTTTTGGACCAGTGTATTCATACTTATTTTAGTTTGCACAATGTAAAAGGAAAAGGAAAGTATAATTTATACTGATTATTGGTGTGAAGTGAATAAATATGAAAAAATTCACCTTACTGTGTTACTTTATTTCTGCAAATTTTCATTTTCAACAGAAATGTGAATATTATTGTATTTTCTACATAATTTTGCAATAAAAAGTAAAAATGTGAAGTTAAGGCATCAACCACTCTAGTATATACCTAAGATCTAATATACCATATCCGTTTATTAGATCTTAGTATATACATAGAAATATATCTCAATCAGATTAAAAATGTCTAGAAAGTATTGTAAAATGTTTCAAATAATTTTTAATACAGCAAAAACAATCTTCTGTAATCAGTAGTATATAAAAAAAACATCATGATGATCTAACTGTTAGTCATTTACTGGGTAAAATACTACCCTCTACCAGGGCGAGTGATAGATTTTACAGATATTCACAGGGTAGTAAAATACACTTATATTCTCAATACTTCCACAACACTTATTATGTTGTTATGAACACCGTGCGGCCACAAGCTGATTGGCTAACTCCACCACATCTTGTCTTGACATTTTCTTTATCCAGTCTTCAGGAATGCCATCAACACCATGCTGAAAGGATAGAAAATATCTAATAGCAATTACTACATACTATATCCTTGAAACAAATCCTATCAATCAGTTAAATCCTTCTGATGAAAATGACTATCACTTTTGTTTAGCAGGGTTTCTACTTTTGAAATATATCACACTCCGATTAAATAAACCTACACTTCAGTTTTTTGTATCTCTTGGTTTTTCGACAATTTATTCACTTTAACACAAACATTTGAAAATCTATTTTTATGAGAAATTTGCATATTTGATGCAGAAATTAGGTAACAAAGACGATTTAGATCTAACATCAAGCCTGTATACTAGTACGTTGTTTTTATTTCAATTAATTTTCACCCAACCAATAATAGCCTGGCTAAATCATAGAATTACAACTATAATTATTTTTATCATTGATGTCATTTAATTAGTATTTTGCGTTATAATATTTAATTTTAAATTGCTACAGTAATAATTTATTCAGACCTGTAAGGGATGACAATTCTTCATGTCAGATTCAAAATTCTACAATAAATACACTGTAAACAACACATACAAATATGTTAATTTTACCATCAAAATAGTGGTTATCACAATTATTCTAAAACTTGCCATCAGACCACATGGACCTTCATAGATGGCTACCCTCCGTAAAAACCTATTTGTAAATTTTTATAAAACCCACACTTATAAAAAAACTTTACATTTCGGAACAGATTCATTAATCACTGGAAAGTATGGAAATATTGTTTCAAATGGCACTTTTCTGACCATAACCAAGGGTTACTCTCCCTTTAAGATAAAGAAAGCATCAAGACAAGCCCTTACCTGGGCACCAAGACAAGCCCCTAGTAACATATTCCTAGAACAGTTATCTCCGCCAGATGTGAGCGCTTGCCTCATGGTATCCACATAGTTACCATCAGCGCCACCTATGGACTGTATGCTACAGATGAAGCTTCCTGGCAAAGCTGTTTGGAAAGAGGAGGCACAGGGTAAGAATAAGAAAACAAAATTAAAAATTGAATTAAAACTGGTTTTAATTTTAAAAAAATTAACAATTTTTGACTTCAGAAAGTCACCAGTGGTTGTCATCTTAACTGGGGTGACAGCAGTTGTTTTGCCATCCTGTCAAATGGACATTGCCATTTGGGCGACTCCTTTTTGGCTACATGTATGACATCATTTAAACTGAATTTATACACGTCCATTAACATTATTTAAACTTGCACTCAAGAATGTGTTAGAAACCACAATATTTTTGTCATTTCAGGAAATGTGATTTTATCGACTTTAGGTTTAAATTTTTTCACATATGCACAAAATTAATTTTAAAAATCCATATATACTCCAAAGTACTTTCACATTAGGGTTTTAGAGAAATTTCATCAATACATCAGTATACGTACAACAAGAAGAGCCAAATTCCTTTGTGGCTGCTCTGAAAGGTTTATCTTTCGCAGCCAGTGCTATCTTGACTTGCTCCTTCACTGTGTCACTTATGTCCATACTAAGTAACTTCTCCACTGCTGAACTGCCTCCTCCATTCAGAATATATTCCTCCAGGAGGAGAGCTCCTGAAGGAAAAAAATGGGGGGATACAATAGATATAAAAATAATCACTGAAAATTTAAAGTACATTTTAACTTATGGAAGCTTGACATCTCAAAAACTGTAAAACAAGATAAAGAAAAATCATGTCACATCTAAATAACTTCATCCATAACTTTTTGTATTTCTCCATCCAGGTTACGTATCATTATAATCAAAATTTCTAAATAAAATAATACACATATATAAAGAATATATAATATATTAATAAAAACATTATTGTCTTCATTCTGTATAAGGCTCTATTCCCATAGATTTTAGATCGATCTATCCCCGCGGGGAGTCTCACTAGATTACTTTCAGATAATCCGACTTAAATGTCCGTCCCGCCTACTACAAGCTGTAAGGGGATAATTAACTTTCGTGTCCGCCCAGCTGACAGCTATTTAGCGTGAACCCCCAGGCAGTTAGGTCGATCTAAAGTAGGTTGATCTAATGTATGGAAATGGGGTGTTATTCTCACCAACTTTAATTAAAAATCCATCACTACATTCAGGGGCGAATCCAGGATTATTTGAAGGGGGAGCCAAAGATGCATAGCCGCCCCACCCCACCCCTTGGCACGGGGTTCGAGGACCCCTGAAGACCTTCAAAAATTTTCTAATTTCATGAGGGGACCATACCTGTTACCTTTTTCAAAAATCAAAGGGGGGGGGGGGGGGGGGCAGACACTCCTGACACCCCTCTAAATCCACCACTGACATTTATATCAATTGAAATAAATTAAGTAGTATTAAAACAACATTCATGCTCATACAATACCTGCTATAGCGTACTCCACTGGCGTGTTGTCATCCTGTGTCACTCTCACTATCTCCTCCACCATTGTCCTCAATTCTGGCCTCCCAGCATATAAGGCTACAATAGGGGCCACCTTGGAGTGTCCATCTGCCTAGAAAGATTAAAATAACTATCGGAGGTAGACGATAAAAAAAGATTTAAAAACCAATTCATAGGTATTGTTTTTCTATTTTTTTCTTTTTTGATGCCTGAACTGCTATGACTGAAATGATATTTATGAAAACATTTTACACAAAGTAGGAAAATTTCATTTTTTCAAATTTTACATGATACAATTTGAGTCTTTTCTCATGTGTAACTTTATACTTACATGTAACACACTGATGCAGAAATTAAATACCATTGAAAACTAAACATCTTTTCAGATTAGCATGTCTCCTAGTGATTTATCAAAGATGTCTCTCTAATCACACTATGTAAAACACAGCATGTCAATACAGATAACTACACTGAAAGGCAACAAAAATGACCTAACAGATCATGACTACAGAAAATCTATTTCAAACTCATCCAGGGCAATCCATGGTTAATCCTAATGAATTGTTCTCGCCACTGTGTCTACTCCTAAGCTGCTTTGGCAGCCATGTGATGACAAATTAAGCATATAATTCGAACCGGCTGAGCCTGAAGATATTGAATTTGTCTCAACAAGATTATAATCTTACAGTCATCAAATTCTGGGCAATCAATGAAGTGGGTTGTAGAGCAGACATGATTGTTTACTAGTATCAGGATCCTCTGTGTGGATGGGGAAAAAAGTACTGTAACAATACCAGTTTATTATTATCATGATTATTTGATATCAATAGATTGCTGACCATTAATATATATAGTCTGATGTTTATGTTACATAAATCTTTTTTGCAATATGTCTACCAGACGAGTCCATCTCTCTCCATCCATCCATCAATGCAGCTACAAGTTCTGTCTACATTATTTTTAGTACAAGCATATATTTACTGATTAATTTTTTTATTTACGCATTTATTTTTCTGCAACAATTAGAAACCATAAAGTGGTATTTCTAAAACGAATTGAAAAGGACTCTTTTTTTACTCATAGGTTGCTTCTTACCCAACAAAGGATGTAAGTTAATTATCTTGTAATTACTTGACTATCATTAATGCATTATTATTATCCATATATCTACTTTTCAAGCGTTTCTAATAAACCATTTTGCAAACAGTTTTGTGAGGTTGATTCACTCCCCCCCCACCCCCCAACAAAAGGAAAATGATTTAAAAAAGAAAGTACCAGCAGAATGCAGACTCTGAAAGTGATGACTCACAAGTGATTTTGGTTAATTCCCAGAATTTCAAGGGATCAATAACTTCAATTCCTCAGTTCCTGCCTGAAACGTACAGCACCACAGTTCTCTCATAGCCTGTATGGGATGTAGACTAAATCCACCAACAGCAGGGACAGATGGAGGCCATCTTCTACCCGTAGGTCTTCCAGAAGACCGTCAGAATTTTTCATGTTTACATTGACAGGCATCTAACTAATAAGTTTTTTTCTGACAGAAATATGGAGGGTGGACCAACAAAGATAATTTGGGAGACTGTCAAAAAACATCCCTGGATCTGCCACTGAATAGTTCCTTATTGGGAACAGGTATGTATATTTTTTTCAGGAATTACTGGTAGACTGTGGTATTATATGGATTTCTAGTCTTAGTGGGCAACTCTGTTAGCAGACAACGAGGAGGAAAATAATGTAAACAGGTACCAATTAGCTGAAAGAAGACTTTTTAGGTATGGATCCTTGTAACTACTCCTTGAAGGTATTAGGTGGGTGATCAAATCTCTTAAACAATGCCACAGTATTTTTCATAAAGACATGAATTTCAAGGTGGCAAATATAACAAAATATATTTTCTGGTAGCACTATTAAATAATTTTCAAATACTACATTTCATTTTATATATGCGCAACATATGGTATTCTTCATCGTTTCCATTTTCATTTAGGAGTAATCCAAATGGTAAGAATCTAGCTGAGACAGCCTTAAATGTGGCTATCAACACTGTGCGATGTCATATTATACTAGAAAATGTGTAACGAGAGGAGGGGTTGACCTTTAAACAACAAGGGTGAAACAGAATGCACTGTCAATATATAATAGAAACCAATACAAAACTGAAAAGTTACGGAAAAGTGTCATGTAAATCATGTGAATCCAAAGTGTCACATGTTCAAAGAAAATGTAATTAGTCAGAATTTAACATAAAACAACCAGAAACATATTTTGAATAAATTGGGTCATCTTTTATCTGTATTTCTGACCCTACTCTGCTCGAAATCCTATGAAATATTGTCACAAGACAATGGGCTACTTGGATGATGGTCTATTACTAGTATATGCTTTTGTTTAGTATTTAAGAAAAATTATTTACATCCCTGCTATAAACTTTATTGAAATAAAAAATACGACATTAAAGTCAGTGTTTTAAGGCTAAGCTATTTATATTTATGATACTGATACCTACATGTACACAAAGTGTTTTGTTTTGTCATAAGATGTAAATCTGAAGTACGTGCAAACAGACTTTCTGCTTAGCTTGGGATCACTTCATAGATTTTATTCACAAATGATTTCCATATTTTCATAGATTTTTATATCAAATCACACAACTAAATCTACTTACACAAGAAATCAATACATGTTCTCAGTATTGTGGGCGTTTTGATAGAATGATTGTTTTATCTGCTACGAGTAAAAGGCTGTGTTGTTTCAGAAATATTACACATAAGGAACTGTAGATGTGCATGCCAATAATGCTTTGTCCTGATTATGTAATGCTATGAGAGCACCAAAGGCAGATCAATGGTAGCACACATCTGGCATGTCCC